ATAGATGCATCAAAATCGTAATTTCAGTCATCAAAGCGCATAGAAGTATGAGTCCTCCGCTTCGCTCCGGACAATTATTCGCTATATAAGAAAATTATGATGTCAAGAAACCTATTTTAGAATGTATGAAAAAAAGTTGCTTTAAATAGAAATTGAGCACTCAAACAGCAATCACATCATAAAGATATAAGAATTCTATAAAGTTTTAATACGTAGTTGTTTAACATCTATATTAAGCATTCATACGAATTTTAACATGTACTACCGTCTCAAGATAAATTTAACGTGACAAATTACGATAAATAGCGATTACATAAAATTTATGACTTTCTAATGTCTATTTTTTAACAATTTTACGAATATTATCTAGAAAGTCTTTTTATTACATATGATCCTGCGATAAGAAAAAGCAATGAATGAGACTTAAAAGGCTATAAAGGAAAAGAGTACAACATTCTTGATCAGTAATTTTATCAAAATTCATATGTTGCAAGAACTTGGAATCTCCATCTCCGAGATCGTTACTTTAAACGATCGTCAAATCTAAGGGGAGTTAATTTCACCAGAAAAATAACAAAATAGCTTCAGTATATGGATCTTATGTCCGAATAGTCTTATTTTACATTGGTGGGATCTATATTACGTTACCTTAACACAATTACTAAACTTTTTTTTTCTGGTAGGTTTTTAGATCTAGTGAATGGACGGTATAAAAATAAGCAAGCTTCCACCCGTAAGATAAGTTAGTAAAAACGTTATTTTTTGCTCATTTTTTTTACTTGATTTACTTTCCTGTAATTTATTTTTAAAGTAATTTACTATTCATTTAACGGAGGCTATGAAAACGAATTTTGAAATCGATCAAAAAAAAACTATCGATTGTTGATCTCTAAAAGTAAAGGGATATTATGGATACAAGGGGAATTGATTTTTTATTCGTATTTGTATATGAAATAAAGAGGGGGCCGCTGGGCTCGCCATTTTTTCCAGGAATTACAATAATAGCAGTAACAAATTTTTTTGTCCCGGCCCAGCCCGCATTTACAAAATATGTTGTTAGGCCCAGTCCGGCCCGCAAAATTTTGCAGGCTGGGCCAGGACCCATAAGTACGCCCATATATTCAAATTTCAGTGAAACAATTTGAAGACGTAACGTTATTTCACGCACATCACACTAAATCATGAATGTGATATTTTCGCGAAGCACCTTTAGCTAGTAACAGTAATAGTGTAAATCTATAAGTTGTAATAATGAATAACTCGTATAATGAAATGTATATACTGTACGATAGATTCTGCGCCTAAAAAAGTCTTAAAAAACCCAACACAACACCAATGTTTTTTTTTAATAAAGTAAAGCCAAATATCAACAAGAATTAAATCTAAATATTACATAAACTAAAGCTAAATAGCATTAATTTAAATAACAAAAATATTCTATGTTATTTATATATATTTTTTACATATTAGGTATTTTGTACCATTAAATTTTAACAAATTTATATTACATAATCTTGATCAAAGTTTTTTTTTTTTTTTTTGAACATATTGTTTTACTTATGACCAGATACTTTTCTGTAATTATGTATTGAAAACTCATTCATTGACGCATGAAAAGCTAACAATGAGCTTCGAATGTTTGCCAAGTCATAATTAATACCAATAAATATTAAAGAAATAATAATTAAACTCAGTCCTAGACGTTTAAAAAAGACAACCTAATAATATAACGAGACAAATAAAGTCAGAACGAATCCACAATAAAAGAAGTATAAAGTTAACCTATAATTTTTCGAGCCTTTAGGCTTACCTCTGCTACTAAATGATGTAAATCTGAGGTAACATTCTTTAATTCTTCGTCATGACGATTTTGCGTGGCCTTAATTTGAGTAATAGATTCTATTACTAATTGCTCATATCCATTTTTCTAATAAATAATTTCATAAAAGTTAGATCACAGAAAGGACAGTGTAAATGTTATAGGTGCAGAAAATATAATCATAACTTAGTTACGACGATATAAAAAGTCATGTAAACAGGCTTAATATAAAGCGTAATTGAGCTGTAATTAACGAGGTGAATGTTCCTGCACCTATAATAAATTTCATAATATCACAATACCAAATACCCACCAAGCTTCCTACTGTCTCATTGATTTGATTCCACATGGACATTATGTGCTGTGATTGTGATGTATCTATTGCTATTAAGGTTTCTTTAAGCATATTTCTTATATAACGATTAGATAATTCTGTATCATGTTCAAGTTTATTAAGACGTGTCATAATAGTTTTAAAAATACTATCTTGACCATTTGAATGTCTGCCACCATCTGGATATGAAGATACGAAAACATCACCCATATCATCTTTGAAAATCTTTGGTATTGATGATGGCTTCTGCGTAGATATAGTTGATGACAGTAAACGATGTTTCGACTTTGTTTCCAAATTCATTAAATGCATCTGCCTTTTATGTTCAATGAGACTATTTATATCTTCTATAGATACTAGATCGGATTCGGTCACATATAGTGGACACATATCAATTGTACATACTCCTGGGAACAATAGGGATTCGTCCGGGTGTATATTGTTTGATTGAAAGTATTGGTCAATTAGAGGAACCGTAGGATAACATGATTTGTCTTTGAACAACTGAACATCGTTTATTGGACACAAGTCAACAGATGTTAAAGGTGCAAGATCATTCTCGACCTTAGTTTTATCTTCAATTTCCGGACTGGATTGATGCTCCGTTAATCCTGGAAGGCTATTCGATTGTCTCGGTAACTCATTTACCGAATCCTTTTCTTTAGTCTCAGGTGTGGTTGGTATTAAAAGGCTAGAATTGTCATCACTTAAATTAGTTCCACCAATATTAATATCATGAGAAAATTCAGATGATGAGACAGTTTCTTGACTTTGGGATTGTTTAATTTGGTTTTCAATCTCTTCTTGTTCTCTTTTCCACTTTTCATATTCATTTGAGCCATGAACTCGAAGCAAACTTACTGGACAGTAATGTTGGTGTCCATAATGGGTCAGAAAGTCTATACGAAGATACTTTGCAAACATCACTGGATCTTCAACCTTAAATATCTATAGACAAATATATAAATGAATATAAAGAATAATCATATATTACAAAACAAATGAGATAAAACCAACAAATAAATTGTATACAAACTTGTAATTCCCTTGAATTTTTTGCTCTATATTCGCCTATAACTTTCCAACCTTCCTTTGCAGGATACCATTTGCTAATAGATATTTTAAAATCCTTGAATGTCGAAGAAAAAAATTCGAAATTTGCCATAGCCAAAGATTCTATTAAAATATCTTCACATAATTGCAGTATTATGAATTTCGTGGCGGCACATGGATTTAAGACATAAGAATCTTTACTTTCATATAGAAGTGAAATGGCGCCTTTTGCTTCAGGATTAGATTTTAAAACTAAAGCACCACAATCGAACGAAGCAAAATTAAATTTTTCTTTTAACTTGGAAGCCGGATTTTCATATTGTGAAATCAAACCGCCGGAATCAGCATTATCAAACATTGAATTAGGATTATCAAAGTCTATATAATCTTCTCCATCAATTGAATTCATTAATGCTGGATCATTTTGAGAATTACCAACGCGTTTTTTTGATATTAGTTTTGGATCAGCCGCTAGAATCAGAAACATTACGAATATGAAGGACATGACCATAATCATGAATTTATTCATAATGAATGTAATAGTATTGGCAATAGTTCACACAGTTATGATGCCAGTAGTGAAGCTAGTGTTGGCTCGAGTTGAAAGGATTCTCAAAAACCTTGATAAAAAGTCACAAAGAAAAAAGAAGTACCATCTTTGATAAGAAAAAAAAGCCTTTGTAATTAAGAACGTGTAC